GGGGAGGTGCATGACCTTTCAGGGAAGGTGCAAAAATTCTCACGGGAGGTGCAAAACGATCTCAGGGGAGGTGCGCATCTCCCCTCAAAATCCGCCGATGCTATGCTCAAGGGGAAAACGCATTGTAGAATGGGGTCCACCAAAAATCTGTGTGCCCCTGTTTGGTAACAATGGTTACTGAATAGTTTTATTTCCTTACGTTACAGGTTTTGTTGTTCTTGAGATAGTTATGATGGATGGTGAAGTTTATTCGCCATATCTGATGGTCTTAACCAGTGCGCTCGTTTTGTACTTAGTGCAAAGGTACGTGTATTCAAATTAAACGTTAGATCTTAGGGTTTGTTTAAATGATACCGGAATTTCTCGGGACGGAATGAAGACGGGAATGATTTTGTTGTTTTGAAATGAATCACTAAGCTTTAAGGAAAGTTCTAACGCCGGTTAAAAGAACTCAAATGTTGTCGAGAAGAACTCGTAGTTCAAGAAAATTATTATTGCTGCTTGAACAACATCTCGTTTACAATTATACTATAATCTATCATTACAACAACTTGTCAACAGGATGTGTTCGTACTGCTTGTTCCCAGCTTGTTGCAAGTTGTCAACGGCTTATTCGCAACTTGCTACAAGGTTGTTGAACTCAACTGACTTGTTACAAGTTGTTCCAAAAACTTGTTGTCGTCCTGCAATTCAACAATTTGTCAACAAGTTGTGAGCAACAACCTTGTAACAACATTTTTACAACTTGTTGACAAGCTTGCTACAAGCCTGTTGCGAACACAACTTGTACACACGTGAAAACACACAAGTTGTTACAAATCTGTTCACAAGCTGTCGACACATTGTGTTCGCACTGCTTGTTCCTAGTTGTTGTAACAAGTTTGGAACAAGTTTGGAACAAGTTTGGAACAAGCTGTTAACAACTTGTAACAAACTTGATGGCATTATCAGACTTGTTACAAGATTTATTACAACTTTATTGTTCTAACAAGTCTGATGCAGTCATGGTATTAAAAGAATGTTACAAGGTTGACGACACAAGGTTGTAACAATATTGTTATATCATGACTGTATGGGACTTGTTGCAACAACCTTGCAACAAATCTGATAATATCAACAAGGTTGTTACAAGTTGTGAACAGCTTGTTCCGAACTTGTGCGACAAGCAGTGCGAACACAACTTGTTGGCAGACTTGCTAAAAGATATGAGATTTTTGCCTGTGCAGAAATGAATATGTCTATTCTATATATTTGTGACAATTTTTCCCCCAGGTTACATGAAGTCCGACGTCTTAATAAAACTCCAGCTCTGACTTGCATTTCACTTCATGGTTCTAAATTGTTGTTCATGTTTACGTCGCTAAACGCGAAACCAAAGTTGGAAGCCTTGTCGTCATCGCTTGTGGTCTGTGGAGGATTCTGTCTATGTGGTATTCTAATGAATGCGCTCCTGTTTGAACATGAAAAGCATCTTGACAGGAATAAGGTGAAGTTCTCATTGACAACAGAGCTTCGGTCAGAGCAAGCGCCTTTCACCTCTGAGATCGTGGGTTCGATTCTCGTTGTGGACTATGGTTAGATTAGATTAGATTAGATTAGATTAGATTAGATTAGATTAGATTAGATTAGATTAGCAGAGTTGTAGACTCGAGTCGTGTGACTTGGACTCGAGTCGGACTCGAGTCGCAATTTTTGTGACTTGTGACTTGACTTGTTAAAGAGACTGATGACTTGCGACTTGACTTGGACTTGGACAAAATGACTTGTGACTTGACTTGGACTTGCAAGAAATGACTTGTTACCAGCGCAAGTAAAACGTAAATCTCTAGTGAAAATCAAGTTTTCCAAAGTCTTTGTATTGATCGATCGATCGTCGTGTTGTACAATTTGGGCAAAGACCTTAGTACATATCAATGGCATCGACAGAATTTGTGCCGGCGTATTTTCTGACATAAAGTTTCTGACATAAAATAACGACGCCATATTTACATATTTTGCCGTTTTGCGTGGGAAAACATGGCCAAATGTGGCGATAAAATAACTTGTGACTTGACTTGAATTGACTTGCCACTCGGAATGACTTGTGACTTGACTTGACTTGGATTTAGACAAAATGACTTGTGACTTGACTTGAACTCAAACCAAATGACTTATGACTTGACTTGGACTTGCAGGAAATGACTTGTGACTTGACTTGTACTTGCAACATAGAACTCGTTAACAACTCTGTAGATTAGATTAGATTAGATTTATTAAAATACTTGAATGGCAGTTCAAAATCGAACTGAAAAACACAAGTTTACATAGTTTAAAAATAGTAGAACAAAATACGTATATACAGATTATAGATACGCTGGTAATACTAATTACAATAACGTAGGATTGCTAATTTACAAATTGATATATTAATCTATAGAAGCCTAAAAGGTTAAAAAGAGTTCCATTTGCGTACGCAATATGGCAAAAGACTATCATTATAGCGTTTAGTTCGGGTTTTAAAAAGTGAGATAGACGGGAATGTCTAAGATTGTACTGGTGATCTAAAGGTTCAGGTAATAGATTAAAAATTTTGCTCGAAGTGTCACTATAATTGTTTTTGTAAAAAGATCTGCATAACAATTCCCTTCTCTCCTCGAGAGTGGGCAACTTTAGGTCTTTGAGGCTTTCGGAGTAGGACAAGTGGGGAACAATAATTTTGACTCCTGTGAAAAGAGTCGGTCAACGCTCTGCCGAAAGTCGTGGGCTTTCTCCAGCCGCTCAAGTTTCCTCCCAATGGGGAGTGAGCTGAATAATAATGTAATAATGTACCAGAGAGTTTATGATTTGATTTCCACTACAGCTGCCATTAAGCGACCATTAGCCAATCCGATGCGTTTTATCTACTTGATTAGCCAATCAGATGCGTTTTATCTACCTGGTTAGCCAATCAGATACGTTTCATCTACCTGATTGGCCAATCAGATGCGTTTTATCTACCTGATTAGCCAATCAGATGCGTTTCATCTACCTGATTAGCCAATCAGATACGTTTTATCTACCTGATTAGCCAATCAGATGCGTTTCATCTACCTGATTAGGCAATCAGATGCGTTTTATCTACCTGATTAACCAATCAGATGGACACAGTGCAAGTGAGAGGGAGCGATGGTAGAAGTCAAATCTAAACCTCTTTAATATTTGTTTTAGCTATTTCCCTTTGCTAACTTTAACTTTATTTCTTTCTGTTCAAATTAGGTTTTACGACACACTGGCATCGTGTTTATGTCTTTGGTTTTATTATCATCCACATTTCTGCGAACATTGTATGTCTTCCTGACTCGTGACGATCCTTCACCTGCCGATATTGTTGGTACGTTTTTGCAACTAAGCTAACTTTATTTATACTTGATAGGTCTATCAGTTTCAAACTGTTCTTCCTAGAGGTCCAGTGATGGTCATCCCTTTTTGACCCAGTGTTACTACAGGAGGAAACCAAAACTAAACTAACTTTAATTGTTTTTATTTGTGGAAACACCACGTAAATTTATTACTGCAAAGCTTTCGATCCGTAAGCCCGGATCTTCATCAGTGCTAATAATATGTCATATTATTAGCACTGATGAAGATCCGGGCTTACGGATCGAAAGCTTTGCAGTAATAAATTTACGTGGTGTTTCCACAAACTAACTTTATTTATACTGTATAGCTCTATCAGTTCTACACTGTTCTCCCTAGAGGTCCAGTAAGGATCATCTCTTATTGAGTTACTGGTCCAGTTATTTTTGTTTTGGACTTGCTATTTGTTTATCTTTTAGGTTTAATTTTTCTCGTTACTGGTGCTTGCTTTGCCAAGCTTGCATTTCTTCATTCAAATGAGCAAGTTGCGAGGAAACAAAGCATTCTGGTGATAGTGAGCGGAATTCTTGTTACTGTTCTGCAACCGTATTTCAATATACTTGAGGTGAGTGCGGGATTCTCAAATATACAGGCTTTTATTATAATTTCACCTTAATCGCATGTGAGCAGAGTACTTCCAGTTTCACTCTAACAAACACCACAGGTAAGTTTAGAACTGATAGAGATATCCAGTATAAATAAAGTTAGTTTAGTTTAGGTTTCCACCTGTAGTAACACTGGATCAATAAGAGATGATCCTTACTGGACCTCTAGGAAGAACAGTTTAGAACTGATAGAGCTATGCAGTATAAATAAAGTTAGTTTGGTTTAGGTTTCCTCCCTTAGTAACACTGGATCAATAAGAGATGATTCATTAAGAGATGATCATTACTAAACCTCTATATAAAGAACAGTTTAGAATTACTATATCCATTACATTATTTCTTTAGATTTTCATGCAGATACCAAAATTGATTTTCCGAGAAATGGTATATGAAACTTGGCATGTCATTTTCGCCGAGTAAGTTTAAAATAATCAACTAGAAAAACTTTGTTGATCTTTGAAAAACCCTATCGTGGTTTGCAATTGTACGAGTGGGTTTGGAATCAATCCTGTTACGCATACTAAAAGCGTTTTATGGATTAAAATCTAAAATTTTTTGCAGGTATATGATTTTACCATGGTGTATGTTGCTGTCACTTTCCCTGATAATGGTGCTACTGCTGAAGCTGTTGTCTCTCAAAGAAATCTCTCCACTTGGTTTGAATGTTATTTCTATCTTAATTGGAGCACCACTTGGTCTTTATATTGCACATTGGGTACGTCTCCCTTTATCATTTAACGTTTTTGTATAACATTTATTGAGTATTTTCTTGTGTTGGTGTAATGTACTGAGGTGAATAAGATGCTTGTGATGTTACTCTGAGTGAATATCCACACCGGGCAGGCTTGAAAAATATGCCTGGCCACGGTGGGAATCGAACATACACTCAGAGTAACATCACAATCATCTTATTCACCTCAGTACATTACACCAACACAAGAAAATATCATGATTACTAAATTACATAGATATCGAAGGAACTAGACTCAGTTCCGAAATATCACATACTCGAACCGACCTGACCGCGTAGCTCAGTTGGCAGAGCATTGGGCTAGTATTCCAAAGGTCGTAGGTTCGAATCCCACCGTGGCCGGGCATATTTTTCAAGCCTGCCCGGTGTGGATATACACTCAGAGTAACATCACAAGCAACATTTATTGAGTATTCTACTATATGACTAAACAATAAATATGGTACAACACATATGTTACGAAAACCAAACTGACAAAAAGACAAGACAATTAGTAGATAAACTCAAACGGAAGAGCACGAACGGGACAAGTAGTCCCATGCAAGGTGTTCCCCATAATTACTTGAAATATAACTAAAGCTAGGACAAAGCCACTAAATGGGGGCCCTAAATATACAAATGTTTACCGGGTGGGGAAAAAAAGTACGACTGTTTGATTTACTATAACGTAAAAAGTAAAAGAGCTATTACACTAAAATAAGTCACCGTATATTCCACGATGTTTAACTTAAATTCTGACATATGTCTTGTACCTTTGCATGCAATATTGACTGAGATAACTGTGTTTAAACTTAAACAAACATTTTTGGAACCGCCGATAATTAGTTGAAAAGCCCTTGAGCATTCTAGTACGCCATGCAGAGTTGTTCAAACTGCTACGTTATTTAAGTAATATTTCAAATCCGACTATGAGGACTGGACTAGATTTCAAGACCGCGCAATTTGACGTATGAACGTTAGTGAGAAGGCACGAAGCGTAGCCGAGGACTGCATGGATCAAAATGGGAGGACTTGAAATTTAGTCCAGTCCGAATCGGAGGATTTGAAATGACATCTTATACGACTAAATCACTACTTCAAGTGAGGTGAATTAATTTTGATCCAGTCCTAGGACTGAATTAATTTTGATCCGGTCCTAGGACTGCATCAATATGCTTCAGCAGGTATCCAGTATTATCATGTGAGCAAAATAAAGCAATGTGCTTAGCTAGTTTACTCATGAATTATTAATGAGTTTGAGATGTAATATTTCAAACCCAACTGGATTAGACTAGATGTCCAATGAGAACTGGACTAGATGTCCAAAGCGAAGCCGAGGACTGAATCAAAGTGCGAAGACTTGAACTCTAGTCCATTCCGGATTGGAGGATTTGAAATGACATCTCATACGAAAGATAAGTACTTTCAAGAGGCAAATAAAGTTTAGTAATACAAAAATTAAAGTTTAGTAATACAAACGTTTTCTGGTCGAGTTGCCAAACTTGCTAATAAGCGTTACAAGGCTACCACTTATCAGAGCATGCTTGCCTTGTCTTGTTAAATAGACTACACAAATCTCACAGCATACTGTCCCCCTTCTTAAACTACACACGTAAAAATCTCACAACTTGTTAACCAGATGTGTTTGCAACAGGCTTGTGGCAAGCTTGCAGGGCCTTTTTTAACATATAAGCTGGGGGGGGGCATTTGCCCCCCCAGTCCCCCCTTGTGCCCCCCACGAAATCACATTTTGCCCCCCCCCCCAGGAAAAGTCCCTTTTTCCTAAATTTATACCAACAAAACAGCGAAGAATAACAAATAAATAAACGGAAAGTAAGTTTAAGGCTTTATCCTTTGTCCTTGTTTAATTAACAAAATCGATCTAAATTGTTACGTTTTTCTACCACTAAGTAATGATAAATTATTGTTAATAATTTTTTATTTTTTGGTTGCTCAGAATGCAGGAAAGAGCATTTCCAGGTTTCAAATTTGAAAAATTTTCTGGAGATTATGCCCCCACACACGTGGCCTTCGGCCATTGGTATCCCCTTGTAATAAGTATAATGATAAATTACGATTAATATTCTTGTTTCAAATTTCAAAAATTTCTGGGGAGTACACCCCCACACACGTGACCATTGGGATCCTCCTCTAATAAGTAATGATAAATTATGGTTAATATTTGTTCTACTTTTTGTGGGTTTTTCCTTCTTTTATTTCAAATACAAGTATACATTTTGGAGCGCATTTGGATGCTCAGAATGCAGGAATTGGCATTTCTGTGCTTCAAATTTCAAAAATGTTC